ATTTGAAAATTTCACCACGAACTTGCAACAATTGATTATGAAAATTCTTAGTTTGATATATAGTGTTATGGGTTATGAATGAAACTGTAGTATCTTTTGGCATATAAGGATTATAGAATATTTTTATTTTAATTAATTTATTTATTTTTAATATGTATTAATATATTTTTAAATTATATGACGTGATATATTCACATAAAGAGAAGCAATCAATTAGAGCGATTGCATAATATTATTTATATAAAGTATATCAAATATTGAAGGTTTGTTATGATATATAAAATAACATTGATCAAATCTCATTATTATAAGATAGTAATGATTCGTAGTTTGTAGGAGAAATGGGTGTGAACTTACAAGATATCGAAGATAAGTTTATATTTGAATATAACAATTTGACATGAGGAGATATTACAAGAACCTTAGGTGTTGAAGAATTATAGACATTATGTATAAGACAAATAACAAAGAAAAAAAATTATCACAGAAGCCTCAAACTCATCTCCTGCTATTGTCGAAGAGGAAAAAAATATATTTTGATAAAGATGGACGAGAGAAAAAGAAAGATGATGATATTGATTATGATAATAATTAAATTTGATGTAAAAACTTTATTAGTTTTTAGTCTTTTAATATTTTTGTTATTAAAAGATGAATATTATAACTTTATACGTTAGATCTTTTGAATTTAATGTCATATTTTAAGTTATATAATCATATTTATTAATTATATTATATATTTTAGAATGTTTGAGAATTTTGGGATGTCGATGTCTAAAACTTTTTAAATCACTTAAAATCACAAGCTATTTTGATCACCATAGCATAATTCTTGGATTCTGATTCTCAAGTGGTATTGCGTCAAGAATTATTTCTTAATATCTACCTTTGCGTCGAGTGCAGAAGTTAATCAATTCAGGTACATCGAGCGTAGAAGTGAATCAGCAAATAGATTCAGATGTGTGTGCCTCTTTGCTGATCCAAGAAGAAACATGAAACACAAACAAGCACCAATAATCACAACCATCGGCATGAGAAAAAGCATTTACTCCTCTGGAAATCTCAGAAACATGGTGAGAAGGACCGAGTCTACCCGGTGTTCAATATCGGAACAGAAGCCTCACGACACAGCTCAAGAAGAGACCAAGATTGACAATGGAAAGAAGAGCTTATGATCATGTTCTTTCTGGTTTAATCAAAGCCTCGTGTATAACAAGCACACAACAAAATAGACCCTTCTCTTCTCCACAAGCAGGTGTGCCCCATATATCATCGTCAGCCACTGGGCAACAACAACATAACTCCTTCCAATGGATTTTGGCTGACTTGATCTGGTTTACGCTGAAAAGAAACAAACATTTAGAAGCATTTCCTGTGCACGATCGATGGGCCGGACTCATCGTACTCAGCCTTCGCGATCCACATCTGCAACCAAGATTAAACACGAATCAGCAACCCTATCACCAAAGGCGAAACATGATCTGATGTATATTGTTAACACTTCCCCTCACTTATGGAGGGTAAATTAGTTGAACCACGGATGAGACATGGTCCAACACTTTACCTGTTGGAACGTGCTGAGCGATGCCAAGATGGAGCCTCCAATCCAGACGCTGTACTTCCTCTCTGGTGGAGCCACCACCTTGATCTTCATGCTGCTCGGTGCCAATGCCGTGATCTCCTTGCTCATCCTGTCGGCAATTCCGGTGAACATGGTGGATCCTCCACTGAGGACGATGTTCCCATACAGATCCTTCCTGATGTCCACATCGCACTTCATGATGGAGTTGTAGGTTGTCTCGTGAATGCCTGCAGCTTCCATCCCGATCATCGATGGCTGGAAGAGCACCTCCGGGCAGCGGAACCGCTCCGCGCCGATGGTGATCACCTGCCCATCGGGGAGCTCGTAGGACTTCTCCACCGACGAGCTGGTCTTAGCAGTCTCCAGCTCTTGCTCATAGTCGAGAGCGATGTACGACAGCTTTTCCTTCATGTCTCTCACGATCTCACGCTCCGCAGTGGTGGTGAAGGAGTAGCCACGCTCGGTCAAAATCTTCATGAGGTTATCGGTCAGGTCACGTCCGGCCAAGTCCAAGCGCAGGATTGCATGTGGGAGGGCGTAGCCTTCGTAGATTGGGACTGTGTGGCTGACACCATCCCCTGAGTCCAGCACAATACCTGCACAAGAGTTCGAGTGCGAGAATCATCAACATGCATGTTCATTGCATAGATGTTGTTGATGAGATAAGATCTGATACATACCAGTTGTGCGACCACTAGCATAAAGTGAGAGAACAGCTTGAATGGCAACGTACATAGCAGGGGCATTGAAGGTTTCAAACATGATCTGGGTCATCTTCTCACGGTTAGCTTTCGGGTTGAGAGGGGCCTCGGTGAGGAGGATGGGGTGCTCTTCAGGGGCCACCCGGAGCTCATTGTAGAAGGTGTGGTGCCATATCTTCTCCATGTCATCCCAGTTGTTCACTATGCCATGCTCGATGGGATACTTCAGAGTCAGAATGCCTCGCTTGGATTGAGCTTCGTCCCCGACATATGCATCTTTCTGACCCATGCCCACCATGACACCAGTGTGGCGCGGGCGGCCTACGATGCTGGGGAAAACAGCTCTTGGAGCATCATCACCGGCAAATCCAGCCTAGAAAGAGAGGAAAAAGATAAGTTGGTAAAGTGAGATAGTTCTGACTTCCAATTAATTCCATTACAAAAGGAACAATAAGTCGTGATACAACTACATGTATTTTTTCCTGTAATAAAGTACCGTACAGAGTATTACTTCCAAGTAATTTCATTCTCTGTTGGATTATGAGCATTGACAGATTGGAGAGTGTGATAGCAGATGTAGTTGTACCATAACCATCCCAAGCAATTCTATCAAAATAATAAACATAAGTCGATAATGTGCCAACTGTCTGAGGTCAACTATATGCATTTTTCCCTAAAAAGCAATACTTTGAAGTAATTACATTGCCAGTTACAAAGATGGATTCTAAGCATTGATATACTACGGAATGTGATGCATATAAAGTTGTACAATAACCATCCCAGGTAATTATACTACAGTAATAGCGATAAGTTGTACTGTCCCAACCATTTAGGGTCAACTACATGTTTTTTTTCCTGCAAATAAGTTCTGTACAAAGCAATAATAGTTTCATTTCTATCACCAAAGTTGGATCATAAGCACCAATAGACTGCAGAATATGATGTAGATGTAGTTGTACCTTGACCATTCCAGTCCCATTGTCACACACCAGAGGTTGAACATCCTCACCTTCTGCCATTGCTTATATCTGCCAAAGGAGTTGCTGTGTTAATCACTGATGCGAAGAAATGATAACAAATTGCGTTCATAGTTATCGATTGATGCTAAAACACTATCAAAGTAATATCATGGAACAGAACAACTTCAACAAATGTTTTCATACTTTTGTTGAACCAGATCATCTGATCAAGCTCAACCTACTTGTACTGTTCACTCGGTTACTTCAGCTTATGATTTGCATAGGTACAATGAGTTACAAGATGAGCCTATTACCTTCATGTGCTTTGGTCGGACCCCAACTTGGACCATCCAATATTATAAAAAAAAAAAAAAATTGAATATCAATTGGTGCCGATTTACATGATCCAATGGGTAAATGTCAATCGAAAAACACCAATTCAATCAATAGTTGAATCTTCTCATCGAAGAATATTGATATTGAACTTCCTTTAGACCCTAGTCCTCGAAAAGCAAATGCAATAGTTATAGTCACCAGGGCAAAACCTAGAATCGAATGGCTTACATGCACAAATTTATGCAGCAGATCTTGTGCCAAACGAATCTTAAAAACACACAAACCCTAAGCTACAAGTGGCTTATAGTTAAGCTTCGTCTCTGCTGAATGCTCAGCAAACCAGAAAACCATAAGCATCCACGATCGAGTGACATCATTGAATGTGCACAACGCAAAGCAGAGGATGGAACGCAAACGGCACAACACAAAGTATGTAAACACAAATCATATTAACTTCAAGAAGATAAAGAAACATGCAGATGTCACATTCTGTGCAACCTGTTTACAGATGAGATGTGAATACGAGTAACAGAAACATCTCAAGAAGAAGAAGAAGAAGAAGAAGGATGAGATGATTACCAGAACGAGACAAGGATCCTTCCAACGAGGTGAATAGAGGAGGAAGTGGAGGAGAAGATGGAGAGGAAGAAGAAGGGCCGAACGATCGATCGATCGACGAACGATGGTTCGAGCCCTTCCCTCGTTCCCACTTACCCTCTGCCTCACTCGCTTCGGTTACTTCTTCCGGATTTATACGGGCGGGCGGAGGGCGATGCGGGGAGCGGAGGAGGCGGAGGGCCGCTTCGTGCGCCGCTCCTACCGGTAGCCAATGGCCGCCCGGTTATCGCTGCCCGGCCTTTTATGAGATGGCAATATATTGTCGGGTCGGATCCTTACCATTTCGAACGGTTTTGAAACCGACGGATTCAGATATTGCATCCAAAAACCGATTGCCTCAGATTGCCGTTACAAGGCTAATCGTGTTCTATGTCGTAACGAAATGTTTCGTCCGCGAGTTCACAGAGTAATCGTGTTCGATAAACGACGACCTCTTATTCTGAGGACAAACCCTTCAAATTCTGCAGTCCTGTTCGTACCACCGGTGACCGGAATCCAGAAGAAGGCAAGACTGTTTAAGATGGTGCAAAGACCGTCGGTGTACTTACCTGAGACCAGCCTGACAAAAGAGAAACCAAATAATCATTTTATTTTGTGGTCAGATCCTTAAAATTCCGCTAATCTTATTCTCACGAGGTGAGATGATTCCAGATTTGTGGCTCTTAATCATGTGATGGGCGACCACGCACGAATCCAAAAGCATCTTCCTCTCTTGTAAACCCAGCATTAGGAGTTCACGCGATCCAATTACCAGTATCAAAACCCACCACAGACATAGTTAAAGAATTAACGAAACCATGTCTCTTCAGTGCAAAGTCAAATCGACTCACAACGCATATAGCTTCATTTAGATCACAATGTTTACCATGCAAAAGGGATGGTGGACATCCACCTATACTACTAGCAAATAACAGTACTGCAAGGGTGCAGAAAAATGTCAGTACAGTTCTTGCAACACGCCATGTTCATTAGCAACACCAGTCAGAGTCACAGTCAAAAGCTGGATTGCCATTTGCAAACAAGAGTTTCATTCCAAGATGAACTCCGGTACAAGTTTCAACAGGTACCATTGAGACATGTTCGAGCCATTCTTCAAACATGCCACCTCCCAATTCTATTATTTGATGCAGCAGCCGTTCCAGCCATCCCTAAAGACAAATTAGCAGGTCAAAATAGGAACTACAAATTCATAGTGCAAACAGTCAGGCGTAGTGCATACAATGCAGAAGACCAACTTACTTTGGACAATTCGGCTGATACTATATTGAGAACCAGGTTAAAATAAATTCTTATTATTTATACCAAGCCTAACTGGATACAGAATAGTAAGAAATCAGCAAAATGTATCCCACAACATCAGTTATTTGTTTATCTAAAATATGGTATAATGAAAATACAAGAACTGGAAGGAGCTCTGTTGGTACAGGCGTAGCAATATTGATACGCTTACAGGGGAAGATTTTAAGATCAAGTGCTCTCAAGGCACGAGCATGACAAGCATCATAAGCCACAAAAGATACAAGCAACAAGTAATTTCTAGTTATTTTGATAATGAGTTGAAGTAGAGAATTCTATGTTAATGTGCATTACTTGTTTATCTAATAAACATTTATATAGATCTGGAATACAAAGTTTCCACCTCTTTCAGGTAAAAAAAGAAGAGTTTGGCTTTAGCTTCAGTGTCATTTTATCTTTTTTGCCACCAGAAATTTAGCCAAGATGATTGGCTTTTGTTCGATGAAAACAGAAATTAGGATAACGTGGGTTTCCAGGAAGGTAACTCATACATCATGCTCCACCGTCTCTGGCTAAAAAGGGCTATGGATCTGGCTTTTCACTGTTTCACCACCAATGGAGTGAAGAATAATGACACTGTTCATCTCTCTCATGCTATAGACTCAACATTGGATCATACAGGCAGTATATCAAAGACCTGGATACAAGAACTCAAGTTGTATGCACTCAATACTGCAACAGAAATGAACATGAGTATCAACCATGTAATGCATATATCTACAACACTATCCTCTGATACTAGCTCATCTGGTTTCTTGGTCACTCTTCAAGTTTTGTGGAGTTAAAGAGTATAAACATGCACTTCTATATGCCAAGTACTGAATGTGTTTAACATCCACTGCTTTAGCTTGATAATAAGTGATTCTACTTTTGCCAATTAGTCACCACTCGCGGCATTGATGTTTCTGAGGAAAATCAGTACAGCAAACAAGAGAAGACCAACTGAAAGCACCAAGCATCCAACATTGACCAAAATGAAGCTGATAAACAAATTAATGAAAAAGAAAAAATAGGCTGGTCTTGAACCACGTACCATCATGTCTTACATATAGTCAAAGGCTCCCCTTATTCCATCCAAGCTCTCTCCCAATGAAACTCTGCAACATGAAGCAGCAAAATGACCAACATATAAACAGGAATATGAATGAACACTCAACCTCCGCAACACTACTACATCTTTCAATCTCTCTTAACATGGAAAATCGGTTTGTGTACAGAAATAGTTACCACCCTTCTATATAAATCAGGAAAACACAATAGAAAGATTCAGTTTCAAGCATGAGGTGCAAAATATTTGTTTTTTGCTATGAAAAAAAAAACATTTAGGGGATTAAACCAGAAATTATCACTCACAAAAAAGTTAATAATCCAACTACAACCACCTATATTGGGAATAACTAACTAATGTAGCTTCATCAAAAGAATCAATAAAGTTCCTACATTGGTGGAATAAATGAGTTCATTGTTTTGTAATCCTTGTCTACGGTATCCAGGGTTTTGAATACCGAACCATACCGGTGTACCGATCAGCTGTTGGTACGGTTCGTACCGAGTGGTACCGAGAATACCGACACATGGTACACTAAGATATACTGATGTACCGCCTGTACTAGTCCTCTATCGGACCGATACATGCAGCCCGTACCGAATGGTATGATACGGTAATGCAAACCATGATGGTATCATAATCCTTCCAGATCTTCTTCAACTTCACTTGAATTGTAGTTGATGGTGTAGCAAGCATTTAATCTTCACCAGCTCGACCCCATGCCATAATGTGCCTGTGAAATGCACATTGATCAGTGCATGCTGAAAGAACTACCAATACGATGAAGGGTAGCCACTTCCCATTTTGGCACAGATCAAATCTCACCAAATATATTCACATTGCACCTAACTCGAAATATGACGATATCAAATATCCTACAATTCATAAATCCAATCATGGTAAATATACTTGCTCATTTATTCCAGGTATGTTCTCAATAAATGTTGACCCAAATTTCAATTCTTGCTCTGAGACTATGCAACATATTTCCAAACAACCAGCAAAGAGGCAAGGAAGCATTAGCCAGACAAAGATATAAGCACTTTGTGTTGCCTCACTAGTGACAGAGCATCAATATTTGTTTCATTGGACCTTGCTTTACTGTTTCCCAACCTGAAAACACAAGTGGCTTATCTGAAGGCTTGCACTACATGAAATGCACTACAGATCTTTATATCACACACACACACACACACACAGATATATATATATATATATATATATATATATATATATGTATGTATATATATATATATGTATGTATGTATATATATATATATGTATGTATATATATATATATGTATGTATATATATATATATATGTATGTATATATATATATGTATGTATATATATATATGTATGTATATGTATATATATATATATATATGTATATATATGTATATATTACAGGATAGCATCAAACATGCATCCTGATTTAACAAACTTTAATGCTCCACTGAAAACTCAAAGAATCAACTTTAATTGAAGAATCTAATATAAACAATGAGTTGGCAAGGGCTGGCTTTGTCATGTTTAGTTGCCTGTTTTATCATTATTGTAATATATTCCTAATGTCACATAAGTCCCAGACAACATACTAACTTGTATCTTATGTTCATGATTCTTGTTGGCATTTTCAAAAAGTATGTCTAAGTTGCTGTCATATTGAATAAGTAGCATGATTATGAACAATTAAGGGTTCTTGAAACTGGATTTTGAGGAACCCAATAATCATTTTTCACAACCAAACTTAATTTAAACGGACTCCTCCCACTTGTCTGATTGATCTTACTTCAAGTGATGATTGGATGAACATGTATAGTACATGATTCCATGAAGTGTCAAAACTTCAAAGCTTCACACTGGGCCAAGGAAAGGGAACAATCATTTACAAAGATTTTGTTGATTGTTCACCAAAAAACGAAATAACAAATTAAGTCTTTCTCTAGAAGAGGATTAAGCAATTCGACACCATTGCTTACTGCTTCTTTGTCAGTATAGAAATTTAAATAATGATGTGAATGCATAAATTAAACAGAGTGCAGAGTTAATGCTTAATTGTATTCTAGTAGAAGTATGCTCTAAAAGAAACCAAGTGAGGCATCTAAATAGTGTTTGATATTGAGGTTCTTGTTCACCTAAATAACACATAAAAGAATAAAAAGAAACTTAATTTTAAAACACTTATACCTCATAACTCGAGCTGAGTCAAGCTATAACAAGGCTTTTAAGGCCCAAGGTCATAACAACTGGTTATCTCGACAAGTTAGTGAGACCACACTGAAAGCTTCATAGTCTCACGACATAATGATAATGGTGTATAAGGCCATGTAGTCCATTGTTTAATCTTTCACAATGAAACAACACAGTTGACATTTTATGACATTGGTTCGCCACACAAGAGTGAATACCTACTAAGTGCTTCAAGTATTTGTAACATAATGTGAGCTTAGTTATGCTAAACTTATGTTTCAGCTCAAGGTTTAGAAAACTAGCCAGACCGATAAAATACCATTTGGCAAGTACCAGTCCAACCAGGAACTAGCACCCGGATTGGGTTTCTCTTGGTCCATTCTGAAATCTGAAACTAGTTTTTATTTTATTTTATTTTGTTTTGTTTTGGGCAGTTGTTGACAGCTGTCAGCAAAAGTTGACTGTCAACAGCTCTCTTCATCCTCTTCTATCCTCCCCCTCCCCTTCTCATTCTTCTCCTCACCTCCTCCTCCTACAGCTTCTCATCCTCTCCTTTTCCTTCACCGTGTAATACACTGACATACGATGTAACCTGTGTGCTGGGACATACTGGTGGTACAAGTCACACTCTGAAAATTTTAAACCTCCAGATCAAAACAAGTTTCACATTGAAACTCAAAACCTTGCTTCAGCTAACGCTATTCCTATCCCGATGCTCATGTGCATTTGAAAAACAATGGTTTTTTTTAGTGCTTAAGGTGTAGATTGTTGCAAGTAGCTGGCTTCAGATTCTCATGTTTCTTTCATAATTCATGTAGATAAAATGAAATGTGATGATCCCAAATCCCAACGAGCAAGAAAAAAGAAGTGTACGGTCAGTCATACTTGCGCATGCAGTACTTGAATTCCTGCCCCCTAACAAAGTCGTTCTCCCCTTCCTCCAGCTGACCCAAGTAACACATTACACATACCAAATGTTAGACGAAAACACAGCAAATAAGCGACATTAGACTAAGACCATAAGAATAAAAAAATTTCCTTTCTTTCCCATTTCATCTCACCGGATCGCTCTCATAAATCAGCTGAAAGCAGACGGGAGAAAGGCATCGCAGCGCACAGTTCTCCTTGTCGATTATCGACCACCTGCACCTCGACCCCCACAACCCACTTCTCCCGCAAACACCCGAGAAGAATTAGGTCATCTCAACTTTACTTCTCTCAAATGATCAGATAAAAAAAAAAAGAGTAGATGCGATCAGCGGCTACCTCTCGATGTCGGCGTAACAAGCCTGCTTCTTTTCTCTGACCTCGATGTCCTGGCAAGATCCGAATCCACATCGGGTGAACAGAGCAAGAGATCAACAACAACAGAAGGGGACATCAGGTGGAGGCCGCTTACGGTGATCGGGCGAAGGGACGACTTTGCGAGAGCGACCGGCGCGAGGAGGCAGAGCAGCAGAAGGCCCGGCCAGAAGCCAGCGACGCGGAGGGGACTGGCAGGAGAAGGTCGAAGTGGAGACTTCGCCATGGATTTCGGTGAAGACGGCCGGAAGCAAGACGCACCGCACCTTCTTTTTACCGGTGTGCGACGGTGGTGATTATGATTTCCTCATGTCGGATATGCTTAGATCTGATGGGCTTACGTCGTTATCGAGGAAGATTCTCATTTCCAATAATACAAATCAATTCGAGAATTTCCAATATATATATATATATATATATATATATATATATATATATATATATATATATATATATATATATATATATTACTAAGAGAACTAATTTTTTTTCTTTTTTATTTAAAAAAAAAAAGAAAAATTGAAGGACATAATAACAGTGGCGTGGACTTTGTGAAATCTTTTGGGTAATCTCTGCCTGTCATCAGTTTCCTCCTGAAGAATCCAAAGAACCTAAGCAACCTTCACAGAAAGGAACAAAAGGTAACACCATGTTGCAGATAAAATGAATTCAAAACAGAAAAAGGAAGGGAAAAAATGAGAAAAAGAAAGGCTTTCAAGTGTAAAGAACAATAACAATGATTTATAACAACCTCCTTTACAAACCGATGAGCAGGCACAAGTGATCTAGAAAGAGTCAATGAATCTATTCAAGCGACAAAGAAGCAGGAAGTCCAATTCACCATGTAAATAAATAATGCAAATTAATATCCATAATCTTGAACCGTGTAATTAAAATTGTCTCTTTCTGTACAACCCAATATCCAAATGCAAGCGGCTAAACAAGAGAAAAAGGTCAAAAGGAGATGGCTATAACCATCACAACTGTAAGCAATGTGCTTACAGGCAAGCAGACGGATCGAAAACTTTTCTTTGCAACATCTGCTGGGAATTACTATCTACACGCCAAAAATAAATAAAAAGACCACATCAGTATGTCAAGACATCTTTACAGGGTTCTGGTAGATGCGGCGTCGGCACATCCATTGCTTTAAAAAGCAGAAGCACCTATATAACACAATTGCACCCGCTCTTTTCTCTCATGAATCTTGTTTGATGGTGTAAACTCCAGATAAGTTAGCATTTTATACAAAAAAAAGCCTGGTTGTTGTCAGACTTTGTCACCCGTCCAAAACGTTTCCACCTCAATGGACAGTGGACTTATCTTAGCTTCTCGTTAGCTTCCCACGACAGGACTTTTAGTTGAATCTCCCACCGAGTTGGTCTCGTCTTGTTGATGCACATGAAGGTCCACACCATTTAATGGGATCAGTTTCTGGAAAAAGCTCTTGATTTAGCAATGACCTTCATGATATTAGAAACAAACGAATAGAGAGTTGCTCAACAAAGAAAATTAGCAGGATAAGAGTAACCATTTTGATAGTTTATCCTGATCTAGCATACCCAATAAAAGAGATTATAAAAGCTAATAAGCATCAGTTTTCTTTTTGGAAATAATTGCATCACACATAATTAAACTATTAAAACAAAGAAGAATCACTAGAATATTATGTAGTATGAAACTTGTTCCAGGACATCGAGAAAATATGAAATATAATGTTGCATTTCATCTACCTATTAATTCAAGCTCCAGATAATAACTCTGAAAAGTTTAATCTTTATACCATTTTTAGATCCAAAAAGGATTTAACCACTCAATGCTAGAATAGATGCAACAATTAGAGTTATGGATTTGAACTATGCATGTGCTGAGAGGCAGACAAGGAAGAATACATCCTTGTTGGACAAAGCTACCTTCACAATCTCTGCCACATGTTAATGTGAGCCACTCTAAATTGCATGAGGTTGTGCCAAGTAATCATTAACGACATACGACATTTGTTCAAGGTCATCTATGCCCTCAACTATGCTCAAGAATTTTCCTCATGCATATTTTTTACTGAACTTGTAATGTGTTCAGATCAATTACAGTACTAAAAATTTGGACGCAACATGATCAGAAAATCAGTTACACCTTTTTCAGTACTAACAGATATATTGCCAATCGTACTTTTCGTTTGAGGCAAATTAGGTGATTATACATTTAGAATGTGATGCCACAACTTATGTTGAAAACATTATGTTTCTCATCAAAATATTATTATAAAAACAAAAGAATGGCTCAATGCATGAGACTCTAGTTCACAAAAGAACAGCTTTACCATGGAGCCAAGCTCACCCCCTAGATATTATTATAATGTACTCCCAAAATTAGCAGCCAGATCATGAGGTTCATAGACTAAATGCAGAAAGACAATTTTCCAATGAAAATTAATATACATGAACATGGTAACTTAGGGGTCACAAAGTACAACATTGAACCTTCAAATGGTAGGTAAGCACTTACAACATTATATGAACCAAGTTGGTTCCAAGAAAGGTTGTTTACCTGATCAATGTTGTCTGATCCCTCAGAATATAAGATAACAGGCCTGCATCTCTTGTCTTCATTCATCAAACTTGAGTTCTCAAAATGTGCACAAAGAGCAGCCTTACCCTGTATTCTGGCATATGCCAACAAGGCAACTTTTTCACTGTTTAACTTCTCCCACTTCTTCCCATTGAATGTCTGTACATGCAAAAAAATCAATTTAGTATATCCTTCCAGATTAAACGAGCCTTTATGTGTAGGATTAGACTTCACATTCAAAGTATGATAAGCTAAATGAGCACATAGAAATGGTAAACATTAACGGAACTCATGGGCCCCTGTTCAAATATGTACATCAAGCTATTACATAATATTTCCCCTTCTTCCACACTCCACAAGAGCATTATTTTAAAAAGTTGTTTGGACCAACACAAGCAGCAAAAAACTTCAAAGTATAAAAGATATATCAAGCAATATAGGAAAACCTTATAGAAGGAGATAATGTGTGAAGGAGAAACCATGTTTATAAATGCATAACCGACGTTGCATTTATTCTGCAGATACAGGAAAAAAAATCTGAATCAGATCATGAAGGAATTAAAAAAGAATATATTAGCCAGATTTGACAGATACTACCTTAAAATCAATTGGCAAGTACAGGAAATCATAAGTACCCTTATGATTTTCATCAATTGCAGCCAACAGCATCTTAGAGGTATACCTATAGAGAAATTGAAAAACTAGCTTCAGCTCATGATATTGCAATCCCAAAAATCAGCAGAAAATGATAACATATTCTTGAACTATACTTATTTGGAATGTTCTTGATCATCAGTGTTGTTCTTGTATCTTCGCCTCTAACAATTTTGTCCAAATCAAGCAGATACCTCTTTTTGTTATCATCTTGACTCCCTTGGCTATCAAACTGTCTACTGTGGCCCTGAAGGCCAAATGAACCTGAACCAGGATACTGGTTATTACCAAAGAAGTTAGGACCAGATATCTGATACTGCATCATTCTTAGTTTGGGCGAACTATTATCTGGTATGTTTCCTGTTAAAACAATTCCTGGATTCCACAAGGCAGTAGGACCACTTCCACTGTTTTGGGTAACCTGCATATTTCCAAATGCAACCTTATTCATGACAGATGTTTCAGGTGTCTCAGGAAAGTAACTGTAGTGCCTCTTGAAAGGAACACCAGGAGGTGCTGATCCCACCAAATGATGCTGACCATGGGATAACCCAGGAAATGAGTCATGCTGATTTGAATAGAAAATGTTCTGCCTTTGCTGTCTATCATTTGATGGGAAAGGAAGTCCCGTAACTGGAGATCTCCAAGAAGACTGGGGTTGATCCATGTTAGAAGTTGGACTGCCGAAAAGAAACTGGGATCCAGTCAAAGATCCAAACCCTGACACATTTGAAGCTGAAGGACCCAAAGAAGACAAAGGACCAGGACTTGAGGCCAGTATTCCACTATTATGATCCCGGGGTGATCCACAATGCTGAAACTTACCTTCATGAGATGAATTGCTACCAGAGTACAGCTGATCAGCATAATTAACCTTTTCTTGGTCCTTAATTAGTCCAACTTTTGTAGAATTTGACATCACAGGAGATAGTATGGTACTTAATCCAGGCAAACAGTCACTACCTATAGAGTTTATGATTCTCCCAGCAGGGGTCTTACAGAGAGCTTGTTGGAATGGACTGCACTCATTCGGACTATTGAATTGGAACCATGTACCTGACATCCACAAGGAATGAAACCAACCTCTCAACGGATCAAATCAGATCCAGGATTAAAGTTGTTAACCAAAAAATATATATCTGATATAACAAAGTTACCTGTAAAACTGTTTACAGGAGAATTTCCATGATGTTGGTGAACCCTGGCTTCAACAGGATCCAAATTATAAGTTGTTTGTTGCATCAAACTGTTCAAGATAATTTTTTAGCATTTTAAGGAGGAGGTGATATCAAAGAACTGGAAATCATGAAAATAAGCAAGGAGAAATTATTTGAATTTACTAACAACAATCAACCGGCATAATGCTTCTAGCTATGGATTAAAGGATGAAAAAATGGTTCTGTTTCTACAAACTGTTATTTGATCAGAGGGAAAAATAACTAATATACTATGAGATCTACAATCTCCATGTAACTGTTTCAGAAGCAGCATAATTAGTGTTGATTGTCAACTTGTAGGCAAACACTAGGCCTGTGCGGTGTTACATCTACTTTGTTTCTTTATTTGAATAAAGAGTTACATAAAAGTCTATGTAAATTTGCCAAAGGATACATATTTAAAATCTTCTCCGCAAGGTAAGTAAAAATGTTTAATTTCATACTTCCATGTGAGATACAAACAGCAAAAGATTACCAACCAAGAGAGATCTAAGAGAAAACTCAATTGCTTAGTTATTGTAATTCTCGCAGACCTGTCTGAGTATGTCAATATTCATCTACTTTTTAGCAAGGACAAATTCAGTAATACCAACTTATGGATTTTTTAAATATTTCAATTCTTAATAAAAGGAGGCAAATTTTGGGTCAGTGTCCAATGGGTAGAACAAATTTAGCAGTAGATTATTTGTTCATGATATTTCACATTATAGTGACAAAATTAATGAGGCAAGGCATCAAATGCAAACTTCATGTCAAAATGTCTAGGCAACTTTAATAAGATAAAAAATCCTCCTTAAGTTATAAGGAGACCTGAAAGAATTCTAGTAAGTAACCAACATGCTGCAGATTCACCCCAAAATCCATACTGTACACCACAACGAAATTCTAATGGCCAGTTCATTACCTCCATGTAAAATACTACTGCTGTTGACAACCGGAAAGTGTATAACTACATCATGAACTACAATATAAAGAAGTCCAGTAACTCTAACATAAACAATAAGGTAGTTGCTATTAGCCAACCATTCGAATCTCTGAAGTTTAATCCCTAAATCATAAGCATAAGCAGCTTTTGAATAGAAAAAAGCAAAAAAATGTAGATACAGGACAGTAAGCCTTGTGTGGTAGTATCCACTGACACTAACCAGCTTTAGAATATATTATAACTACACATACCATGAGCAAAATTAAATTGCCGATGGATTAAAGGTGCATATAAATAGGAAAAAGATATAAAGTGCTTCTGCTTGTGAAACTTCAACTTGCACCTATCCATGGAATGTAGAAACGGTAATTTCCTCTTGTATCACTACAAGTTAGAAATAAAAATGTTTTTTTTATTTTTTTAATGCACAAAATGCACTGTCCTTTTGCTTTTAGCACCATAAGTACAGTAACTATTGGCATCAAAGTATCAAAGCATTCTCACCATAACTAAAAGCAAATAATTAAACTAGTCATATGCATACTTTCTTCGAGCTCCACCAGGGCGACTGGGTTCCAGTTTTATTCGTTTGCCACCTAGTTCGCACTTGTTCAATGACTGAAGTGCAGCTTCTGCCGCTCTGACATCATAGAACTCAATGAACTTATGGTGCCACTTGTTAGGTGTCTCCCTAATCTGGAAGACAAAGCAGGAAATACTGGCCTTATTAAATAAACTTGGGTGTAGAAAAGCATAGGATGCTCACTTAACTGGAAAAAAAAAACACGAGAGGAAATAAACAAATTCTGACCTCTTTTATTTCCCCATGAACACCAAATATTTGAAAGAGGTCATCATTTGATACTGATGAATCCAAATTAAATATCACAAGGGTTCCTTGATTCATATCTTTGTCAGATGGGTTTTCCTAAATGTTTGCAGAAAAAGACAAAAGAACAAATAAGAGACGAGCTTAAATCAGAGGTAAAATCACTAAAATATATATAACCTGACCTTTGGAATAGAAAAATGGATGTCAAGCTTTCTCCGTCTTAAGGGCTTGTTTTGCAGTGCACGCATAGCATTTTTGGCAGCCCGTATATCATAATAAGATATCATAACAAATCCCCGGTGCTTGCAAGCAGTGTAAAGACTTCGGATGTCTCCATACGGCTACAAGAGGCACAAGATTATAATTTCTCAAACAAAAAAACAGTGCCCATAATTTTCTTTTTGAAATATCATGGATCAGGATAAATGTGCAGATGCAAACGTTAATTGTTCAGAAGTGGACCAAACAAGAAGGAAAACTAACATGACCAACAGAAGCATAGGTTTCAAGATAGACATCATAAAAGATAGTAGATAGAACCTGCCAGGTTGCAGAAGTGCATCATACAAGAAGGAAAATTAAAATGATTCATAAAAGCATAGGTTTCATGTTAGACATCATAGGAGAAATTAAAAGAAGTTCCCAGTTTGCAGATTAAGGTTCTTTTTACTCCTGGAAAGAATGATTACAGGGACATAAATCTTATAATTTGCATTGCACCTCAAAGCAGAGAGCATATTTTGCCTTGCATGTGTAACGACGATTAATATAGGAAAAAGATGCCTTAACTGTCTATAGATCAAAGAATTGTATGTAATACAATAATTTATATAAAAATATTTTGAAATTTATTGTTAATTGGATCATAACAAGATCATGAATTTGGTTTTCACTTTTCACAAAAAGTTCTTTTTTCACAAAAAGTTCTTTTTTCACTGGTATATGCTGGGAGGCATCAAGTTCCTCCATGAATGAAGCATAGAAGTGTAGGGAGTCCACAGCTAGTTTAAGTCCAGAATTATTCGTTTCTTTTCTGCACACTTCTGGGTTTCTCAATTTTGATACAAACTTTGATGACTAACTAAACTGGTTCAAAAATTAAGATTTTTTTAACCTAGATTGTGCAAAAGCATTATATCAATCATCCACAGTTGTTGACGTATATACTATATCAATCAGTATGCCAGATGAAGTCATGACTTCACGCATACTGAAAATTTTGCTCTTTAAGAATTTTGACCAAGGGCTCAAGTTGAATATCATTTTTCTAGTCATGGCCATCATCTGATAGGTGACTGTTACTGTAGTTTCAGACCCAAATGTTTGTTTTCTGTTTATAAACCTGATCCTAGAAACCTAGGTTTTCTAGACATATTGACAATCAATTGTTTCTAGAGTAACACATCCCATAGCACATCATTTTCTATATATAAACCTGATCCTAGAAACCTAAGAATTCTAGATATATTGCACAATTAATTCTTTTTGAGGTACGTATTCCATAGCCATAAATAGTTGAAAGCTTCAATCAGAAGTCAGAACCAAAATCCTACAACTCACTACACTTCCTGGATTTTCCACAAGCTAATATTCGGGCTAATTATAGATTACCCCTATAATTAGCTATCTCGGTTCCTATATTATCAAAAATTACATTGGGATCCCTATACTTACGAAAATAAAACATTTAACCCCGTTTCTCCTTACGTCATCGACTCTGCTAACGAAAATATCACACGTGCTCAGTGACAAACCGAAGTAAGGCAAAGTCAACACATGCTGAGTGGTAAACCTTGCGATATTTTTCCGTCTGCAGAGTTAATAGCATGAAGAAAAACGAGATTAAATGTTTCGTTTTCATAAGTATAGAGATCTCAATGTAACTTTTGAAAATATAGAGATCGGAACACTAAAAATAACTAACTATAGGAAGAAATTGTAATTAGCTCCTCATATTCCCCTTGGAGCCTATCCTCACACTTGTCCTAGATTAAGTGATTCTTTCTTGTGTGGTACCAACAAAGGCTCATTATTTTTAACCAAAAAAAAACCTAATGACCACAGAAGATAAACATAAAAACATGGCAAAATCGAGAGTAAGCAGAAAGTCCGTAGTAGTCCCAAATCAAAGGTTTTAAGCCCTTCAAAGCTCTAAATAAGTTACTGTAGCTAATATATACACATACTATGTTGTGTAAACTCATTATATATATCCGTGAAGACATGGACATAAAGCATGAAACATGACATTTTGCAGGAGCAAAACTGCAGTGTGATATGGCAGTTTATGGATTGTTACTCAAACACAAACTGCAATGAGGTACCACAGCAAAATTTTAAATTAAAATTATTGATACACATTCACATAAAAGGCAAAAAAAAGATTTCAAAATATTATAGAAAATAATTACCGCAAATAGTGACCGCAGTTCCGAGTCTTCAACGTTACTATTAATGTTCCGTACGAACAAAGTTCTTGAAGGATGCTCGCCATATGGATGCTCACCAGAGACAGTCCCAAAACCATTTGGAAGAATGTGCTGACTGATCCCATTCTCTGCATAGCTATCAGATATACTTACTTTTTCCATACTAGCAGTAATGCTCTCTGTTGGACCAGAATCCAATTCAAAACCTCCAACACTACCAAAAAGATCGCAATCTTCTGATGCATCCACTAGTTTAGGCAAGTTTGTAAGGTCAAAACCATCCATTATGCCAGCTAAAAGATCTTCCTCATTGTTAGGCAACAAGACCTCATCCTCTTGGAAGTCCAGCTCATCCACCATGAACTCGCCCTCCAAATACTGACTGTGTGTTTTCAATTGAGAAGATGAATTGTCAGCTGAATGAACACCATGTACTGAATCTACAGTCACAAATGAAAATTTACATATGAATCAGTTCAACAAAAGTAGTTGGTGATAACTCAACAGATGAGAAATGCTGCATACATTTACCATGCCGAATTACTGGCAACGAGCTAGAGAAAAGACTAGCATCGGCCGATCCATAAAATGCACTGGAGCTGGATGGACCTTTCCATAAATTTGTTCCAGCTCTGGGCACCAATTTGTTTGATGAGACGCTCAATAGGCCTATAGATAAACAGTCAGACATGTTTTGAATGAACAAAAATTCTTATACCAAGTAGGACAAGCGAGGCATCTTTTTCTATAAATTACCTTCTGAAACTGAATGTTCTTTGCGCTGGTCCATATTTCCTGTACAAATTGCCAAACAAAAGCATGTTGAGAGATAGAGAGGGGGGATGCAGCAACAGTTGAGGATCATGAGGGACCATGACAAATTAGGTGACAATGAGAACCATAAAAAGATCCTCCTACCATGCTGGTATGCTCAGTATAATGCATCTGTAAGTCACCCTTTACACTGTTTTAAATTAGACAAATCCTTCAATAAGCATTTTACAGGATTCTCCTAAAAGGCAAACACCTCAAACAGCAAAGAAATAGACAACCAACTAGAGAAAGAAGACACACCGCACCAAAATGCACCAAAAACGGATTAATTGCCATGAACCAAAATATTGTAATAAAAAAAGCACCAATGTGACAGATTAAAGGGGAAAAAGGTCGTGATCGCTAGGTTGATGATACACATCAAACTCCAAGCGGGTAGCTGATTATACATTTAAGCAACTCCCGACGCCATGGAAGAAGGTTCACATAATAAAGAAGCCATCTTTGCCGCGATCTCATAAAAAAAAAAAAAAAAAGCAACTCAAACCGGAAATAAGATCCACCGACCGACCGAAACAACCAACAAAAGAAACCCTACTTTCAATATGAGATTGCGCCCAAAAGCAGAAGATAGCCAACAATTGAACGACGCAAGAAATAATAACCAAGCGGAAGAGTACACTTCAAACTCCATGCCGGTAGCTGCTCATACATCTAACAAACCTCCCAACATCGTAGACGAACAAGGTTCACAAAAAAAAAACCATATTTGCCACAATCTCGTCTAGAAAAGAGCAAATCCAACAGAAAACGAGATCCACCAACTTACCGAAGGAACACCACCACACAAAAAACACTTCTTTCAATAAGGGACTCCACCCAAAACCCGAAACAAGCAGAAAACAACCAAGCATCGAACGACGCAAGAGACGACAGAACAGAATCGCTTACCAAGCAGAAGAACTTGGTGAGATATCTCCTAGCGCGCCGAGACTCCCCTACCCCTTTGGCAATCAAACCAAATACAGCAAGAGAAGTCTCAGAGCACCAAACCTCCTCCTTTTCGCTCGCACTCGACCGCAACCTGACAGACAGGGAGAGAGAGAGCGAGAGCGAGAAATTATTGGAGGGAGGCGAAGCAAATCAAAAGAGAGAGACAGAGAGGAGAGAGAGGAAGCAGCCGTGTTTATAACTTGTGCGGGCCGGGATTTAGCCGTGTTTAAATTGGATTTGGCGTCCGTCTGCGCTTTGTTTATCATCAAATTATTATTACCACAATACATACATGAAAATATTATTTTTTATAAGATGATAATATCATTTATGAAAAAATATATATATATTGTTAAGTGAGAATATGGATATCTGAACCGGAGAGGTGATTAGGAATATTTTATATAATTTTTTAATACGTTGATCATGTAAAACTAAGTCAAGAGTATTCCTAAGTTTTTCTAGAAGTTAAGTCAATTCTTAGGATTGAAAAGTCTAAGATGAGCTTTCATAAGTGAATGTCTATAATATCTTGAAATCATAAGTATAAGAGGAGGTCGTGTAATTATCATAAACTTAGCTCGAGTTATCCAAGTTGTGAAGCACCCTTACGTTAACTTCTCGAACTTAGCTAGGATTGCTTAAGTCATGAGCGCCCTTACGATATGCATCCACAAAGGGTCAATTCGTATGACTTATAAAAGAAAAAGTTGATTAATTTGAAAACAAGCAGTATATAAGATAAAAAAGAGGAAAGAGAAAACATGGACTTTAGAAGATTAAATGAATAGTTACAAATCCGTAAACAATTACTCCTCGGATGTCGGGTGCGAAGGTAAATTTCTGTCTAAGTCACGGACTTAGCTAGGATTACTTAAACCATAAAATGATGTTCACCACTCCACGTTTATCATGAGTTGGACGATCGAATTTCCGATCAAGTGTGATTGGATCCACCCATTACTTGTCAAGAAGGCATGACTAATAGATGATTAGGATGATCAATCTGTCGGTCATGTTTATCATGCCAATCTTTCTTGAGATTAAATTATATTTAATTTTTTTAATCTTAAAAACTGATTTGATCATCGAATCAAATACTCTCGACTTCGGAGGTCATTTCTTCCCTTATACATATAAAATGTTCGGCATCAGCATCCATCGAGACAAAAGCACGTGTTAACATCGAGTTTATCCACTCGATAGTGCCTTATATTATATTGGTTATTGGTTTCGTTGGTCAAACGTGTGTTTGCATCTTTGACTACATGATGGAAATCTATATTAAATGTCCAAAATAATGGTGAAGATTGACTGTATCATAAACATCATTCAGGAGTGTGATAATGGAGTCGAGTTTACGGTGGGTGATTGATTACATGTATTGCTAAAATACATTTATCGTTCGAAGTGAAATTTTGAGGTATTAATGGCCGACGAGATCCTCATCTAACTCTCTAATTTATTTGGGAAAGAAGAGCAAGACGATTTACACTTCTCAGCCATAATAGTATAATATTTCTAAAGATCAAATAATATTATGTTAAAATATATCTGATAATAAGCTAATTGGGAGGGTTTATAGTATCCGTATATTTGGAGATATCATTCTTTTTATAGTTTCTAACATATAATTATAAAAAATATTCCTTCTTAGATGTGTTATTAATATTATATGTTATTTTGTGAAATAAATAAATGCATAAAATAGATAACTAGATTATAATATAATGAATAAATAAGTATATAATATAGAGAATATAAGGTGAATTCCAAAAAAGAAAACTATTAGTTTTCAAAAAAAAATTATAAAGCTTCTTAAACTTCTAAAAATTCATCTCTTTTTATAACCTCGGTAGTATCATTACCTCTGTGGACTCTTATCGGCTCTCATCAAACTCACCTCTAAATATCTGGTCCTCATCGTCCTTAACCCATAGCATAGACAAAAGAAGTTATGGGTGAGGAAGGAGAGGGTTACGATTGCAAAGATAAAAATGGATCTAATGGAACAATGAATAGGAGAGTTAGGACAGTGAAGGTTGTTAATAATCGATTGTGTCGTGAGTAAGAACAAAGAGGGTGAGATGCATAGGGACAACTTTAATGAGTGTCTATATCATAGATAGACGAGAATAGAGTGGACAAGACATGCAAAGACTACTCCATAGAGATATGGCATGTTCGATAAGAACCAAAAGGGTATAGTGAAAACAACGATCGATGGTGGACGGAGACAGTGGCCGATAGGAATAATAATATTATTTAAAAATATGAAAATTTTTTAAAGGAATTTTTAAAAAATAAATTTTTTTTTTCAAGAATTTACCCGAGAATATATATCTTTCGGATTAAAAGAAGCAAATAATCGGCACGTGCTGTGCACGTGATTGATATTTATAAGTCGGTTTCCCGACTCTGGAGCTTCGGTGGCGGTGGTGTAATGGCCACGACGCTCCATGGAAGCCTACCATTTCGACTCCCTCTTCCTATCAAATCTTCCTTAACTCCTGCCTTGATTCCCAGGAACTACTTCTCCTTCTTTGCCATGGCCGCCAATGTATGCTTCTCGACATCTCAATTCCCCCTTTCTCTGTGTGCAGTTGGATTATTGTGCTCTTGAACCAAGTGCAGGCAACGAGTTCTGCCGGCGACGACGCTGAGCGAACTGAAGTCGAATCCGATGTCAAGGTGGAGGATAACAACAACGACAAGAAGAAAAAGAAGATCTTTGTTGCCGGATCGACCGGCAGGACTGGGAAGAGGATCGTGGAGCGGCTGCTCTCGGGAGGGTACGGCGTGCGTGCAGGCGCTCTGGATTTGGAGAAGGCGAGGAGTGGCCTTCCCCAGGACCCGGACTTGCAGATTGTGAGCCTGTCGGACTCGGAATTGCTTGATATTTTTCGGAAATTTCTTGTTTTTGGTCGTTGATTGCTTGGTTGGATTGACAGGTCAGGGCGGATGTGACGGAAGGCTCGGAAAAGTTGGCTGAAGCCATCGGGGATGCGGAGGCGGTAATATGCGCAACTGGGTTTCGTTATTCGTGGGATATCTTCGCCCCTTGGAAGGTCAGTTCCACCAGTTGTTGTTGTTTCGATGTGTTTTTGCAAGTTGGTGAGCTTTTACCCTTTAACTAGTAACAGGACGGATGAATTTTTCCTAAGAAAAGAAAAGATTTTTCATAGTGAACTTAGGACTGAATTCTAGAATCTCTAATTTAGAACAGACTTTGACATGGAATTTTAATGCAGATTGAGACCTGAATTGCATTGGACCCTCTTGTCTTTGGTTCCTTTTGTAGCTAATTATAATGCTAATATTGGAGCATTTGAGACATCAAGGTTTTTAACTTTGGAATCTTCATACCTGAAATTGTTCTCGTCCTCCCAACCTTGTAACATGTGGAACCTATTCTCCCATATCTTATTTTATCTTTCTGATTAGGGAGATGGAGATGTTGGATATGAATAAGATCTAATTGTTCAATATGTTGGTTTGGTTAAATTTTTTTATTGGTATGATCCTAGTTTTTTTTTTAATGATATTTGCTAGATGAAAAGTGTACATTTTTCCCTATCGTAGGCTCAACACTAATTATTCAAAGGAAAAAATCTTACAAAATGAGTTATTTAGTGGAGTACACTAGACAAGCATATATAATCGTGCACCACAGTTTCTCTGATTCTTATGGGTTAAGCTGACATAATAATTGAGAATTATCAATTGCGCAAGTACTTGATTTTTGAAGTAACTTCAAAAGACACACACTTCTTTTGTCTTAGAAGTATTGTTTTTGGCAAGAAGAATATAGGGCATACCAGTTATGGTTTGAAGCCACATAATTATTGTCCATCATAGTTGTTTTTGTAGAAACCCTCAAATTGAAATGCCTGATGAAGTATCAATCCTGTTTCTGAAAGGACTTTGATATTGAAAATTGTATTGGGACACTGAGTCATTAGGATTGCACATAATGGTTGATTTGACTCATTCGATCTAAAGCAGCTATTGACTGTTAAAAGAGGGTATTGACTATCAGAATTCTTTGTTTGTTGATAGCCCATCAGAAAGCACAAAGGATCTGTTAAGTAATAATTTCGCCCATAAATCAACCCAATCCATTTGGCTAGCCAGGTCGACTAAGTCTTCATACTGTTTAAGTACACTTTATCGTATGGTTGTGCATGGTCTTACCTATTTGGTTATCCTTTGTGATTGATCCCTTACCCATGGTCATGTTGCATCCAATCTTGTGTATCCTCACTATTGTCCCATCACTTGCTGATAGTATGTGCGATACAAAAAACAGGACTTAATGGTTTTATATCAGAAAGTGAGGTTGCAAAGCAATGAGTAGTGTTGGACACTAATTAAAATGCATCATTATGATCTACGTAGAACTTTAAAAGATGATGGATGCACCTTGTGTTACAAATCAATAAGAAAGGGGGTGTGGGATTGCAGAGACTTAATGAACATACTGTTTTGCTTGATCTCAATTCAGTTTGATTTGAAATTGATCTTCTTGGGCCATATTACCCAAACTAATATGTCTTGCTTGAAATCAGCCAAAACTGGTCATAGCCTTTGTGAAATGAATTGGGACATTGACATGTACATGGTTGGTTCCACTTATCTTCTTTTCTAATGCATTTCCTGTCTTAAACTTCATCAAAATCATGAATATATCACTAAGTTGTACATTTCAATCTTTGTCCTAGTCAAGATGACATGCATATGTCTAATCCTGCATGCATTGTATGGGGTAAAGTCAGGTTGTTCCTAGTAGAGCTTGTTATGAGTTGTTCCCAATACGAAAAGCATCAAGATATCCTTAGTCATTTGAAGTTGGAACGAGTTCAAACCATATTTTTAGACAGCAGAATTAGAAATCACCTACTTATACATGGTTTCAAGTGTATTTATCCTTCACATCACAGATTTGCAATATCTATTTACGTTGTGTCTTAGTTATACTTGTTGCTGCTGGTTGACTTGTTATGTTATTAGTTTCCATCCATGACCCAAGGAATAAAGGTTGCAGGTGGACAATTTTGGTACGGTGAACCTAGTGGAAGCATGCCGGAAAACTGGGGTTAATAGGTTCATCCTTGTCAGTTCCATTTTGGTCAACGGGGCTGCAATGGGCCAAATACTTAATCCAGCTTATATAATACTAAATGTA